TCTTACGATGATAAATTTTATTATTTAATATCTTTCGATGATTTTAATATCTTAAGATAATAAAATAATCGTAAGATATATCGTATCTTATCCATTTGTATTATCTTACGATATTATTTGAATTCGAATCATTATTTATACTACTATTACTTTAGATCTATTAAACATATAATTATTGATGTAGTTCGATTTAAAATAATGCAGGCTTTTACAGAATTCTAATATCTCTCAAATAAATTTAATAAAAAAAGCAGTAAAAATTATTAAAAACTGTCACTAAATTCCATGGTAAATTTTGTTCGCTGGATAGTTTCTAGAAATTTCTCTGGTCTTCTGATAACATATGTAATTTTCTAAAATTTCTCCGCTCAAAGCCAGTTACTTAAGAATTGGTCAAATGTAAAGTATCTCAACATAAGCACTCTGCCTATACTACGTTCTTCTGCAACCACCGATAGTACTTTGGACATGGCAATCATTAAAAATTGCAGGACCACTGAAGCAAAAATTCTCTCTCAATGATGTCACAAAGAAACTAAAAGTAATACTCGGGAGTTACTCGATACATAAACACATCATTGTCCACTATAACTGCAATTATTTTTAGAATAACCTTACTCACTGAAGTATTTGATTTTGTGTAGTTGCTTTATTAGAATAAACAAGTGGAGAATCTTTTGATTTGCACGAAAGGTGTCAGAAAATTTAAAGAATATACATCAAACTAAACATTTCATTATTAATAAATTTAGAAAAATTTTAATAAAATGAATAAAATCTGCAAATAAACACCAAGAACTGTACATTTGAAAAAAAAGTACATAAATATTGAAATATTATTGAAACAAAGTTTGATAAATATTCAAAGACAAAAAAAAATTACCAGATGTTATTGTTTTTAAATCAACCTCACTAACTGGAGTATTTCATTTAATAGAAGGATTGTAGTTGTGTTATGTGTAAACAGGTGGAGAATCTTCTAGAGGTGAATGAGAGGTGTTACAAAATAAGAATAATTCAAATATTTAAACATTTTATTATTAATAAATTTAGAACAATTTAAAAAAAAGCTAAAAATTAACACCAATATACATTTGAAGAAAGGTACAGAAATATTCAATTTCAAACAAATTCAGAAAACAAAGTTTGATTAATACTATTTAAAGGAAAAAAAATTCCGAGATGTTTTTATTGTTAATAGTAAAATTTTGAATGCATTTACACAAAATCAGACCTCTTTAAAAGAATATTAACAACCATTATTTTTGAATCAATGGTTAGCAATATTTTAAAAAGTCTTAAAAATCGTATAAACATACATAATTTGTTAAAATATTAGTATAAAATACACTTCATAGATGCATCTAATAAATATTTTACTACAGATACGTTGCATATACACTCATAAAAAATCAATTTAATATTCATTGAGGTAGTAATATAATACCTTTAAATCTTAAATTTTCAAACCACAACATTAAATTAATTTAATTAAGAATTAATTTTAAGACCCATATTCATTAATGTATTAATATAATGCATTTCAATCATAAATCTTTAAAATAAAACATCATAAAATTCTTAAACAAATTAATTAAAACCCCATATAGAAATGAGTATTTTGAATGTAAACCAATGGAATATTTGAAAGCACCTCTACTTAAAATATCTATTTTACAATTACAAAAAAGTATTTTATAGTCAATTAAAATATGTTTGCTACATTCTCATTTAAAGATGCATATTTCACATTAAAGAAAAATTTTACATTCCTTAAATTTAGCTTTAAAAATTATTATTCATGAAAGAAATATTCTAAATTAAAATTGATTATATCACAGAAAATGATAAAATTTGATAATTAATACAAGGACCACATGTAAAACGTGAAAGCATCACAACGACACATATACAATAAAAATTTCAAATTGAATAATAGGCCACTCAAGCACAAACCGACTAATCCTCATAATGAGAAAAATTAAATTATTGTAGGCGCATTTAATATATTTCAAGTGTTTCTCAAACATAGTTATTGGACAGTCGCATTAGTTTTAATTTACAGTTTTGAATTATCATTGACCATTGTTAAATTAATTAGCACTTTTTTTCCCAATAGCAGCTACGGCCCAAAAAAGGTGTGGGAGAAAACGTTCTTTAGTACCGAGGTTAGTTAACAGGGTAAACTACATTTGACATAAACAAAACAAAATTATAAATGTATCGAAAAATTAAAGGGTAAACGCTTACTAACATTGAGAGAACTTTACTATAGTTGTTCACATTTATGAGATTGCATCGACTCCCTGGAGTAGAAATAATCACAGCAAACGGGGAATTTTTCCTTATGCTCAGAATGGTATATTTTCAAGTGTCTACTCAGAGAAAGTTCATGGGCAGTTTCAAAGTCGCAATATTCACAATGTCATTTTGTTGTGGAATAAATAGCTTCGTGACGCTTAATATTGGACGATGTAGAAAATGCTTGTTGGCAAATTTCGCAGATATACGGTTTCTCCCCGGTGTGAGTGCGCATGTGATTTTCGAGATGATGAGGTTGTTTAAATGCCTTTTGGCAAGCATTGCACACGAAAGGTCTCTCCCCAGTGTGAGTACGCATGTGAGATACGAGATGCGAGGATTCGGAAAAGGTCTTTTCACAAGTATTGCACACGAACAGTTTCTCACCGGTGTGAATACGTATGTGAGCCTTTAGTCTACACAAGAAAGGAAATTCTTTTTTGCAGACATCACACACGTGTTACTTTCCTTGGTCTCTTGAATTCTTAGAAGAACTGAAAGCAAAGCTCGAAAACTTCCCAGAAAGTGTGTGGAAGTATTACTTTGAGTCTTTTGACAGCTGCTGTTTTCACCGTCTCTTATCCCGTCCGTTTTGTACGAGTCTCCCCTGATGTTGAGGTCAAGAGACTGACAACTACTTTCGTTAGGATTTATTTCACTATAACGCATTTTTTTATTCCATACACTACATCCGGTTAAAGATTCGTTAGAACTTGATATAGTTCTTTTATTTGAAGTAGGCTGCAACCAGAAATATTCAGCAGATTGTTGTACTTTCTCTTATGAACGGACAACATTTTGATCTCCTTCCGCACCCATATCGAAGCTCACGGGATTTTGAGGTCCTGATATGTGATTAAATGGACCGGACGACGATTCACTCGACGTAGCATTTCTGGTCCCGGGGCGATTTTGCATGTTACGTCCTACTTGTACTCTTCGTAGGTTTTCAAAAAGTTCAAGATCCTCTGCTTCATCTTTGAAGGTTTCGCCAAAACTGTCGGCTTTTCTTTCATCTTCTGACATTTTTAAAACTAGTTATCCTAATAACTATGTTTTTCAAAGTGTAATACCGATTTAGTAATTCAGTTAAAATTTTAATATATTTAATTTTACGAAAATTTTATATTGAACTTAAAAATTCATAAAACTTGCAAAACATGAAATAGCACGCTGTATGCATAACAGGCCAGTATTTATAATTTTTTTTGTTGCGCTGACTTCATGCGCTGTACATCATTGCAGAGCTTGTGGATATGTAAATTTTGTGACTGGAATGGAACTGCGATGGAAGTTGTTGTTAGAGCTGCGAAACGTTACACATTATTCAATTATACAGTAATTGAATTAGAAATATTTCTAACATTCCAGATTAGATATAATTCGTGTGTGAGTTTTAAGGATTTTAGATATCCCTTTCTATGCAAAAATAAAAAAATATCTTCTAAATCTTGCAATCCATATTAACCAAAATTTGATAACAATGATTTCTGTGGGATGGATTCGAATTTTGGTGATTAATCTAATAAGATTTTGTACACAATGATAATTTACTGTTACTGTTGTTATTTACTGTTTTTTTTTTTTTACTGTTTCTTACAAATTTAGGATTATTGTAAAAATATAAATGCTTAAAATACATGTACAATGAATTAAATACTTCCTTTGCACTCACATCATTTAAGCAGCTTTGATTTATCAAATCAACTGAAAAAAATGTAATTAGATGTAAGAGAAAACCAATGTACACCTAAGTGCAGCTTTTCTTCCACTTAATAATATTCATTTTACATATAGAAAAGTAGGATTTCATAATTATTTTATTTTTGAAATTTTACTTTTGAGAACAATTTAAAATAAAGGATTAAATGGAAATCATTCACTCATTCGATTCATTCGACGATTATTTCGAAAACGAATCACTCATTTGACTTTAAGGTGTAGGTCCCAGTCTCATATGACCGTAGGATGTCACACGGCCAATGAGACTTTTTCTCACCCACATCATTCCCTAAATATAAAGTTGGAAGTCAGTTCTAGGCACAGTTTGCTGTGGTGTGGTGTAGTAGTAAATCGTTAGGCGGTTTGGTTATCCTTCCGTTATGGTTGGGCAACATTTTTTAAAACTCTCGGATAGCATAATCGGGGATACTAATTGGAAGTTGTGATGTCTAATCGAATTTTAAAGGTGAAATGAAATGCACGGTACCAACGTTAAGCTGAGTTCCTGTTCCTCAAGGTGAGAAAGTCTTTTTCCAGAAGATTTAATGTATCCAATCCCGGCACAGAGTTTAGCCCAATAAATAATCTGTCAAATAAACCTCCGTTCACTTTTCTTACATTAATATGTGAATGATTAAATTATTGCTATTCTCTTCGTTTATTTTAATGTGTTACGCTAAAATATATAAATTGTTAAAAAAAATCATTTATGAACTCCCGGTAAAGATTGGACATTTTTATAACAATAATAACTATATATTTTATTAGATTATTACAGAAATTAGCTCAAGCGAGCAGAGTGGCGCAGTGGAAGCGTACTGATTCAATAACCCAGAAGTCCGTGGATCGAAACCACGCTGTGCTAGTAAATCTTTTTTATTTCTGAAGATGGAGTTTTAACGCCAGTTATTATCCATGTATATAAAAGCGAAATTTAACACAATGAATAATCTGTCAAATACACTTCTGTACATTTTTTTGCATTAATATGTGAAAGATTTTTAATAAGACACTTTAGTTCATAAAATGGACATTTAAACATGATTGTGCTTTTTGGAGTTGGAGAATGGGAATCACTCAAAACATGTAATCCACGAAACGTCATGTGGTATATTTGTCAATTATTGAAGCAACCAGAGAGGAATAAACCACTTAGCTAATTAAACTGAATATAATTGAAGGTTTGCGATCTGAAATATTTGTAATTTTTTATTTCAGTTTTCTTATTCAAAAATATATTTGAGGAGCTAAACTCCTTTTCAAAATTGCAATTATCAATTTAAGTAGGTTTAAAAATATGAATTTCTTATCCAGGCATTGCA